GAGTTTTCAGAAACCTCCAATAAATTTTTGCACTGTGTTCCCACGGCACTTCTTTATAGGAGTAGAGCACTGGAGGAAGCAGTTTAAAAAAGGAACATGAGGTTATGTGACATGTCAACACGGTTACCTTACTGTCGCTTGTTCTCTCGCATGCTGAGAGCAACTTAGCTGCCAAGTTTACCACACTGGTGAAATTTCCCATGGGCTTTTGAAGTCGTTTATTCCACTTAGTAGGGGTGGTGTTGGGTGATTTTCCTGCCACTGTGGTTGCCATAGCAAATAAACCAGGGATTGAGAAGTCAAGGCATTCAATAGCCACTACTATAAGATTCACTAGGGTGTCAACAAAGATGAGATCCTGGGGAAAAAAGAGGAATTTGTTCTCTCTTTAAAAAGCAAGAAATACAGTTATGTACTCAGTTGACTTTTATTAGCTTATGTCCATTGTTTCTTCTTATTTTTATTGGATTGAAGTAAGGACAAAATTATTATAATTTATTAAATACTCATGTCTGCCACATTTGTGCTCACCTTATTTTTCCAGTCACTGCCTACAGAAAGAATTCTGGTACACAGCTCCTCGCAGCAAATGTTAGCTTCTGCTGTGGGCACAAGAGCAGCCGCTCGGGAGAACGATCGGTACAACTCCACAAGAGTCTTGTTCACCTCTTTGCCTAGTTCCTGTAGGAGACAAAAAATATTAAACAAAAATATGCTCTTCCTGTCACGCAATGCTACACTATTGGGAGAGATCTCTCTATTGGGAGAGATCTCTCTATTGAGAGGGTTAGAACTAAACGAAGTAAGGTCAGGACATGTGTACCAGCGTAGTTTAAGAATACCTGAGGTAACTTTGCATCCAGAAGATGTTTAACAGGAAATGTTAGAGCTGAGTATAGAGTACTGAAGTCATGTTCTAGAGCATCTCCTTGGTTGACATCATTGGTCTGAAATAAGCAATGATGACCAACATGAACAAAACAGTCATATTGATGACTAAAATTATCAAGGTATATTGATCAATGACAAAAATGGCAATTACTGTACGTGGCAGGTAAATTAGATTGAATTTACATGGAAGCCTACAGAAGGTCATGTGATCCAAGTGGGAGACCCCCAAACAGTTTCTGACAAGCACTGGTAACAAAATCTTTCACCTACCCCCACCCCTCCACTAGGTTGCAGTTCACACACACACAGATTTTTTTGATGACATATCTTCCATTTAGTTCAGTAGTTCGTACACCAGTAGAGCATGTAACATAGTCATTAAATACTGTAGATATCATGCCACAGACAAATGACATTCAATGTACAAGATAAGAGTGATGATACCTTTTGGATGTGCTCATTGAGGTGATCCACAATACAACACCACAATCTCCACAAAGCATCTTTGCTCAAGACAACACTGAAAAGCAACACAAAAAAATCCTTTGAGCTATTACTATAAAATATTAACAATCATACTACATGGCAAGTAATTTTGGAACCCTTAATGTAAGCACATGTGTCCTGAATTTTGCTTGCACTGTACCTTGATGCTTTCGCAAGGAGATTTAAAACAGTCTGCAAGAAGAACAACTGTCCAGAGGCTGTTGACATTCCACAAGCAGTGAGATGTTCAAATGCCACATGAAACCTGTAGATGAAGCAATAGTCATGATAAGTTAACTGCAAAGTGAGGCTGCTGAAAAATAAGATGAAGCCACTACTCTGTTTAATCCAGGTGCAAAAAGCAGCCTTCATTCTGGGTACTCTCTTATCTAGAACCCAATCAGGACTCCAATCTAAGTTCCATTCTGGACACCATTCTGAATCTTTGTTTGAGCCCCAATCTGGACCCAATTCTGGGAAAAATTGTGTGTTACATACATGTATTAAGCAACTGTCAAGACCCCTTTGTTTCATGTCGTCGCATAAGAAAAATAATTATTACAGGCATCTGAAGGTAATTTGGGGAACAAAAAAGCTGGATGATTGAAAACTATAGATATTCCATTATTATCTAACTGAATACAGGAAAGCTTATGAATTTATTGTGACGTATTAATTCTTCAAACCTTTCATTTTGCCAGATATTTGACAGCAAGTGTGGTGTCAACAACAGCTGAAGAAGAAGAAGAGCTGGCGACCCTTGTGGATTGTCTTTAGAATGCAGTGATGCCATGTGATGGCTTAATACTTCAGGAGGCAGACTGCACAGCTCTTGTAGCATTTTCTGTGGGAATACAATCAATCTTGTAGCACTTTCCATCTAAATTAATAGCTTGTTGCATGTTTATCATAAACACTGGTTGTTTAGTAGAACTGGGGTTATAACTAGAACAAGTAAAAACGTCTGACCAGTGCACCAACCATATAAGCATCTCCCATACAAGATGGTATTATTACTTATTGTTTATTGATAAAATTTACTGAAAACTTACAAGAACTAAACTTGGTGCCAATAGACTATTGTCCACAAAGTCCTGCATGACGGCAAGCAAGGGCAGTAAGGTTTCTCCATAGTCTGACGAGGAGCCTTTCATAGAAAATTGAAAGTTCATTGTCGTCAGTTTGGAAAGAAAAGCATTTCTATGATAATGCCTCACGAAAGGATTAAACAACTGCATTTAACTTTTATCACCTTTTTCTAGTAGTTCATGTATTCTCTTAGTAAGCAGGGTCCACACTTTCACTCCCAAAGCTTCTGCAGTTGAAAAGAATGAAATGCAAGTAAGATATAGAAGTGTGCATGCATAAAACAAAGGAGAATGACCTTCCTATTGGTAAACCTGTGGCATCACACCCTCAATGTGTGGGTAGATTGTGACTCACATACTCAACCATATACCTGTTGGGGATGCTGTGGCATCACACTCTTATGGTGTTGGCTATGCTGTGACTTGCATGTACAGGTAACTATTATCCTGTTTCTTACCTGCAAGGTCAGTACTCAGAGCTCTGAATCCTTCTCTTATAGCATTTGTCAATAAGCAAGCATATCTCTTAAAATCTTCTGGTCTCTTGAAAATCACTGTCTGCAGTCTTTCAGCTAGGATATGAGTTATAAGTTATAAGTCGATCAGTTTTACCGAAAGGAGAAATTAAAAAAAAGAAACAGTCAAATTTTTCCATGAATGTCCAACAGTAACAGAGAAATCTCTTACCTAGTGTGACTATTAAACTCGAGTTTCCATTGATCTCCTGGTCATCTGTCATAAGCAATTCTAGCAATATTTCACATCCTTGCGCAAGGAGTTTCTGTTTAGCTGTTTTGGCAAAGCTTGCATTTAACACAGTAGGAGTTCTAGGGGTACCCATTTCCTTGAGAGATCTACGGATGGTTGATTTGGGTGTTTCTGCCATCATGTCTGCCAAGAGTTTGCTGTTCGTTGGTGTTGGAGGACATTTGAGATCACCAAGTCCTTCTTTGGTCTTCAGTAAGCTAACTTGATCAAGGGCTACTCCAAATATAAACTGAAGCAGTGGGGTACAAACCTGGAATTTACAAAATAGTGGAAAAAAGAAATTATGTGGATACAACAATATTATTGCTTGATGAAATCCAACTTCAGTGTCTTTTGCCTCAAGGTTAATTTCTCAAGTGCAATACTAATTAATGATAATGGTGATGATGGCAGTTATAAATTATCAAAATGATGACCACAACAAAGATAACTACAGGATATTACACAGTGGCATGAAGATATGAATTTTATTTTCAAGTGGTCAATTTTTTTTTTTTTTACATAAGAAAATCATGTTCGTGTTTTCAAGCCACTGTGTTATTTTCTTTTATACATAGACAAACTGACCAAACTGACTGTTTGCACTAACAACTACGAAAAGACAGGAAATGTTGTCATCAATACATGTATCTTCACCAGTGGATATGGAAAACAAGGCTGTTGCCTAAGGAAATTTTTAAGGAGCCCTTTGGGCTTCTTCCACCAAAAGTTAGGAGCCCAAGCCACTTTTTTAGGAGCCCAAGTAAAATTCTC